GTGTGGCTGGGTGTGCCTGCTGAACTTGACTGTTTTCCTCAATCCCTTGTCTACCATATTTGTCTGTCTGTCTGTCTGTCTGTCTGTCTATCTATCTATCTACCTATCTATCGGCAAGGTCTCTCACTGAACTTGGAACTACCTGAATGGCTAGACTGGGCTGGCAAGTGAGACACAGAGATTCTCACCCAGGGATCTGCAAAAAATAAACCACTGGGGTATTAGTAAGATGTTGTCTTTACTTATGTCTGTGGGGTTTTTCCAGAGAGGGTTGAGTGAAAACAGAAGGCTGGCCCTGGTTGTGGTTGGCATCATCCCATGGCTGCATTCTGGACTGAACAAAAGTGGAAGAGAGGCTAGCTGGCTGAGTGCTAGCATTCTCCTTTCTCCATGTCCTGTCCTCCAACATAAAAGGAACTCCCATAACCATGAACTCCATCACGTCTTCTTTGTCATCATGGACACTACCGTCTCAGGCCATGACCAAAGTAAATCCTGCAAAGCATAGGCTGTTTTAGATCACAGTGATAAGAAAAGTAACCAGTGTAACTGGCTAGGGTGGTCGTGTTCTCTATTTCCATAGTCAATGGAAATAGCAAGGGATTTTAAGATTAAAGATCTCAGCTGTGGATGAACAAAGTAAGGGAGACACATCAACTCCTTTTGCAGCATGGAAGGCAGTAGTGCACGATGATAATGTACAGATGCATACCAAACACACATTTTCTGGCTTGCTGGTGTTATCTCAAACTATCTACCATGTGCTCTAACTTCTAGTGAGAATGGAGATTTAAAACATTGTGAGAATTAGGAAAAATGCAAGTGCCCAGCAAGTGTACAATTATTGTTACCTATTTTTGCTTCAAAAATTTTTATGCATATGAGTGTTTGGCTGCATGTATGTATGTGCACCATGTACATGCTCAGTGCCCATGATTGTTAGGAGGCAGAAAATACCCAGAAACTGGAGTTACAAGTGTTTGTGAGCTGCCTTGTGATACTGTAAATTGAACCTAAATCCTGTACAAGAGCAGCCAATGCTCTTAATTACTGAGCCAACTCTCCAGCTCCTATTGTTAGTTTTCAAGAAAGAAAAATAAAAAATTCTGCTTGATCAGATTTAGAATGAAAATAAAAGCAAATATATAAAAGTTCATTCAGATGTAAATATATACAGATAAATAAATATACATTCAATATGGGAAAAAGTTATTTAGAGCCTGATCTAGGATCACATTTTCAATTTGTGCTTTGTGAACTAAAGGACCCTCGGCAAGTGTCTTAACCTTGTTAAATATTATAATATGTGTGTCAGGAAGTGGCTGTGACTATTACTCAATGTTGACAGGAAAAATAATTTTAAGATAAACCTAGACTTTAATTCTGATTCTACTACTTATTATAGACAAGATACTCAACTTTTGTAAGTAGTTTCCTTCTCTGTGAAATGGAAGATAAAGTGTGCCTAACATGGCTATTGGGAAGATTCTTTAAATTTGTACAGCATGTTTAGTGCAGTGACCAGTATACAGTGTGTGCCTAATAAATGTTTGCTGTTATTATTATGGCAATAATTACTGTTATTATATAAAAGGCAGTACTTAATACAGGCTGCTATGACCACCTACTCTTACTTAAGCCTTCTACTGATGAGAAATATCTAAGAAATGGATAACTGGACCAAAGGCAAGCTTTATCCAAACTGTGCTATTCTTCACTAGAGTTGGCTGCAAAGATGGCTCAGCAGTCAAGAATGTGTTCTGATTTTGCAGAAGACTGGAGTTTGGCTCCCAACACCCATATCAGGCAGCTTACCACCACCTGTATCTCAACCTTTGGTGGATTCCATGTCCTCTTTGGGTTTCTATAGTGCCTGCAATCACATGCACAGACCCACACAGAGATATGTATTATATGCACAATTTAAAATAATAAAAACAAATTTTTTGGAAAGGTTTTGAAATCTACTTAAAACACTAATAATGTACACACTATGGGTATTAAAATTAACTTCCCTTTCTGATTGTAACTCAACATTTCCCATTCTCTTTTGTTTATTGCTTACATATGTTCAAGTGTGATTGGTCTACTCTCTTTTACCTACTTATCAACTTGAATCTTGGTTCCCTTAAAAATTTGAATGAACTTCCTATATATTAGAAAAATGTAATAGTAAATTCAAATCCTCTCCCAGAAACTGGAGCCAAAGAGGTCAAGTACTGATAAAGAACAGGAGACATCTCTGCATGGCCAAGAACATTTGGGGAGTCAGGGCAGGCATCCATCTCCTACCTTGAGACTCAACTATTCCTATAGCTTTGACATCTGTGTATATCCTATATTTCTAACTACAGGAATTCTTTTTAGTTGTCTGTTGACATCTCAAATCTATCAAAAATTCAGGTGAATTCTTCATGCCTCTGAAAAGCTAACTTGCCAAACTCCCCTCTCTAGTCCCTTACAATTCTACCCAAAAGATCTTGAAGTTGGTTCTGAGGAAGTGTAAAGGTCTCAGCATCTCTTAGGCAGGCCTTTTGAGCTGTTCGAAGTTACAGTCTGGGATTACATAAATCATTTATCTTGAGTTTTTATTTGGAAAATATAATGATTATACTTTTCAAACTAAAGATCAGAGGAGACAGTTGGGTTCCATGCTATCCCAGGCCCTTTCTGCAGGCCATCATCTGCTACAGAGATGAATGAACATGGGCCTGGGGTAAGGTAGATGATACTTTGGAGATATGAGTATCCAACAATGGGAGCCAGGAAGTAAGCAGGAGAAAAGAAGGTGCCAGAAGTCATTGCTTTGGACATTTGGTCCAACCATTTACTTTCCTTGAAGTGTTTTTATAAGTCAGCGGTGATGTTTCAAGCTGCTTGGATGATTCCTTTAATAGCATAACAGTTCTAAGTTTGATTTTCGTACTAGCATTGTGGCTCTTCCTGCTAGTGCTTCATTGGGGACGTGAGCATCATGGAATCAGAAGTTGCAGGCTTTCTCCTAACAGCCAACCTTCCAGCATTTGCCACTTTACTTAGACCCATTTCCCCTAAAGCCAACTGATGTGGGCAACATGAATTGAAGTAGAGAAAACACAAGGCAAGGGTTGAGACAAGTCTAAAACTACTCTGAAGGAGCAGGAGGGACATCTAGGGGATAAGGGCACTTGCTGTGCAAGAACCAAGACTTGAGTTTGGATCTCAGCTCCAGTGGACATAAAAAGCCAAATGTGGCAGATGCTTGTAACCCTGGAGATATGAAGGACAGACACAGGAGGATTGATGGGGATTGCTGGCCACCATCCAGCCTAGCTCAAGGTTCAGTGAGAAGCCCTGTTTCAAAGAAATACGACAGAGTGATAAAACAAGACACTAGCCACTTTCCTCTGGCTTCTAGGTAATACACATGTGCCTAAACCTCACACACATATATATCACACCCATACAGTATTAACATGACAATAATAATTAGTATAGAAAGACCTACATACCCTTCCTCTATTTTCCTTCAGTTGTTATACTTTGCATAACTCTAATATACTACAAAATAAATTTACTTGAATGGAATTTAAAATAAATTATATCACTATTTTCAAGACTACTAGCTTCTATAAATACTGCCACTGGTGCTCCCAAGACTATAATTTAAAAAGGGCCAAGTTGATACCTAAATGCAAGTTCTCCTCCCTCTCACTATTTCTTGCTTTCTCCTCACACCTAATGGCCACCTTCTCTTAAAAGACAAGGAACATTCCCAATAACACACTAAGAACTACAGTTTGGGAGCCTTGGGATTGCGTATGCTTTTAAGCTGTCCCTATGCAGGTCTAATGTCTATCTCTGATTGGGGTGACACCTGTGTTGCCGATATGGGTGTGGATACAGTGTTTTCAGAAGGACATACTTTTTATATGGGCGGAGGGGATGGAGCCTGATTTTCAAAAGTAGAGTGTGGTGAGCTCTCCAGTCTCAAACTTCAAATGTCATCTCCCCTCTGTGCCCTGCCCCCTGCCCCCTGCCCCAGAGTCATGTGGGAGGGAAGAGTGAAGACCAGTGTCTTCTATCTCTGCAAAGACAAAAGGCATCCCCCACTTTGAAGGTTGTCCTTGGAGGGCCTTCTTTTGCGGTAAGGGAGAGAAGAGTAGGGGTGGCAGGGACTGAGGGCACCTGGAACCTGGATGACTTCACCAGCTCTCTAAACTCTAGTTTAAGCCAAACATTGCAGCCTGAGTGATATCGTGGATTTCCTTCTACAGTTCACTGAAGAAGACTTGGAAAGGTCTGTAGGTCTGTACCCCAGCAGGGGGGAAAAAGTTGATTTATAGTCTCCAGGTAATCACTTATGAATTTAATTTGCTAGTAATGTATCCCTCCCTCACCTATATAGCACTGCATTTATTAATAAGGTCATTGGTTAAATTCCGTAGAAACTCCTCCTTACATCACCACACTGCAGCCAAACCCACGTGTCTAAGTCCCATTCACCCACACAGGACTCTGGCAAGTTCCTGGATCTCCCGCCCTGGGCCTCCGGCTTGGCTTGGAGGTAGCAGCTGCCAGGACCCAGCTCTCGGGAGTGCCCCACAATAATTCACGTTCCCCAAACGGTCAGACTCTATCCCTAGTAGCTGGTGAGGCGCCTGAGCCTTTGTCAAGTTGGAACCCCTCCCAGTTGAGGTTGGCCCTGGCGTCCTGAACAGGTGGGGGGGGGTGGGGGGAGGGCCGGTGGCAGACAAATGCAAAGAACTCGCTACATTCTCCCTCCTCCCTGCGGAGTCCTGGACTCAAAGCCAGCCCCAATGGGGATGGAAAACCTGGAGAGAGCACCCGAAAGGCACCTGGAGACCCACAAGGAGAAACCACATAGGTTCCCTCTTCCCACCGGGTAGCAGCAACTGCACAGGGTCCCAGCAGGTGCCCGGGAAAGCCGAGAGGTTCCCAGAATTTCCCGAAACCAACGAGATGCAGGCCCTGCCCCAGAGGAGGATTTCGCTTCCTACCTGATTCTGTCCTTCTCTGCCCTTCGGAGTTCCTCATTTCTTTCCAGTACCAGGAGGATCTTCCTGGCTTCTTCCTCGTTTAGGAAACTGAAATCAAACCCCTGAGGAACTTTCGTCATTTTCTCTCCCGGGTGCGAGTTAGGTGTACTTAAGCTCCTTGGCGCCTCCTGTTACAAAGCCATTTTTCAAGATAAAGAACCTAGTTTTCCCGAACTTGATCCCATAGCCCATAATAGCTCCTCGCCTTTGAAAAGCTAAAACCACAAACCTAGGGACCTGCCCACACATACAGTACTCCTTTTGACAACACCTTAATGACATGTTTCTCTCAACCTGTCCAACCGAGATGCAAAATGAATGACTAAATAGAGAGAAGGAGCCAATCGCATCGAGGGGGCGTGCCTTGCCGCGGCTCCCCCCCCCCCCGTGACTTGTTAAGCAAACAAGCCTACATAATTCTGTCTCTAAGTGAGGCTTACCCTTAAGTGTTAGCCCCAAGTATTTGCTTGACTGTTGACTGTTGCTATTTGCTGGAAGAACTTGAGCTTGGCTAGTAGAAAGACTGAAAAGGAAAACGATTCATAGCTAATCCCATCTTTCACTGATTAAAAGTAGGAAAGTCAGTAAGAGTTTGAGAGTTAGCACGAGGTTTACTCCATTTGAAAGACCAGGGAAAGCTAAGGCAAAACGCATTCCAGGGTCGTTTGTCTCAGAGGGACTCACCGAAGTACTGGCACCAGGTTATCCTTAGAATCGCATTGTTTGCCAAACTTATTACCCTCACAAACACACTCTCATTGTCTCATAGGAAATCATTTTCAGACTTGGAAAAGTCCCACTTACAATATTTTAGAAGGCAGCCCCGAGGCAAAGGATATTAGAAAGCTCCTGTGACTAGAGCAAATTGCAAACCTGTGCAACCACAGAAACTGCTTTTCCTAGAAAGACAATTATTTCATGATGAAATAAAGTCAGATATTTCCTAAGATGTGCATCTATCTGTGTACTTTGCCTTTTTTTTTTTTTTACAAATGCCTTTCCAGAAACCATATTTCTCTACATGAAAATAATTTTTTTCGATGGCAATGCATGCCCAAGCACCCTTAATTTGGTCCTTTCTGATGTGATGGTAATGACTACTAATATTTATAAGGTATGTCCACACATATCATCTTTTCATGGTAAATAAACCATACTGAGTTTCAGCTCTGTAAGAGAAAAACAATCAAAGCCAAGAAGGGAAAAATGACTGGCTGTGCCTCTGGTCCCTTGACTTACCTTGATTATCACTGATGGGATGTTGGGACAGCTAGCTACTCTGTGAGATAACTTTTTGTGGGTGTTTATTATCTGCATGAAGTGGGGTTCCACTCTATGCATCCATATTGTACCACACAGAACTCCTTCATAAATTGGGTCATGTTATTGGTGGTGGTTTTGAAATCTGTCATACACCCACTGTTTAATTATTCTCACATGTTCTTTTATTCATTGATTAGGTGTACATACTGATTTTCTAATGCGGGTAGTGGTGGAGTTTTAGCCTTTTTTGTTTTGTTTTGTTTTTGTTTTTATCAGTTAAACTATTCTGGATCCTGTTACATGAAGCCATTGAGTACACACTAAACAACATAGTCCATTTTCTCAGAATCCAGTGAGGGACTTAGCATGAATAGAGAGATAGTTACTCAATAAAAAGAATCCCTTGGGCTTGGAAGCTGGTTTAGAGGGTAAAAGCATTTGCTGTCCTTACCTGGGTCAAGTCCCAGGCATCCACACTGGGCAACTCACAACCACTTGTAATTCCTGTGCCTGATACCTCTGATTTCCTTGGGCACCTGCATTCATGTACAGGCATCTATACATTTATTAAAAATAACGGAAGTATTAAAATGCCACACGATAAACAGAAGAAATTAGTTTTAGCCAAATAGGTCATTGCAGAGGATGCCGAATTGAAACATGTAGAGTAAGATTTGAAGAAGAAGAAAACAGACGGAGGTGGGAGAAGATGTGTGAATCTATTCTAGGCAAGGAGAGCAGCCGTGGGCTTGAGCACACAAGTGCACTCCCAGGATCTTCCCAGATTCTCTCAGTTCCTTTGATCAATGGCCACCATGAGCACGGACTGTGACTAGTAAGTCCTTGATCTGCTTTGGCTAAACCATTTATTTTCTTCTCCTTTTGAAACAAGGTTTCATGTAGCCCAGGCTGGACTCAAAATCCTGGTGGCTGAGGTGTGTAACAACATGACCCTAAATATTGCTGCCTCCACTTCCTGAGTGCTGGGATTATAGACATGTACTACCACACTCAGCCTAGAGCATACATTTTCAATAGGAGAAAAAAATGTGCTGTTTTTATATATAATGCAAAGATACACATACCATGCACATGTAGGATAAATATCTATAATGTTAGCATTAGGGGTGATTAGTTTTAAAAAAGATTTCAGGAGGAACAGTAATGAAAAGGTTTAGGAGCACTGAACTGCACAGCACAAGAAGAATAAATAAGGGTGAGATCTGCTGTGAATGTTGTCCTAAGGAATGTACTCTTTACTATATGAACAGTGCAGAGCCAGCTCAGGGTTTGAGGGAGATGGTGATATAGTTGGAATTGAACTTTTGGAAGATGACTTTGATGACCAGAGACAAGGAAGAATAGATAGAAGAAGAAGAACATATATGGAGTTTGAGGTACCTGTGATTCATCTACAGGGCAATGCCCAGCAAAGGCTGGATACCTTGAAGAAGGAGCAGTGAAGTCATTTACTTAAATATGGTTGCCAAAACCTAGAGAGCAAATTGGATGGACAAAGAAAAGGGTGTACAGAGAGTAAGACTGAGCCTGGAGCTTCAGGGACCAGCACCATCAATGGCACCAAGTCATGCTTCATCCTCATTAGAGCCACAGGGCATACCATGGGGAATATTGAGAACTTTGGAGGGGGCTGTTTGCAAACCACATGGGGTTGTGACTACAGCACTTCGAAGAAAAACTATTTCTTGTTCAGCCATCTGTATGCAATCTTAATATCTGGTAACTCTTGGCATCCTCTTGCGCAGCCCCTTAGCTAAGGAGATACTCATCAGTTTGGATTTTAATACTAACAGTTGAATAAAAGAAAAAAGCAAAAAACAAAAAACAAACAAACAAAAATAGTCTTTGGGAACCTCCTATGCTCTGTCTTCTCCAGGTTGTCAGCCAAATCCCAACAGAAGGATTCCTGATAACTACTCAGCCAAGAGAAAGGCAGATCATATCACTTAATTGAATATCTCAACTTTTGCTGCTGAGGTCACTTTGACCCTAGTGGGCCACTGAGAAGCAATGCTGGAGGTCTGGGAGAGTTTTCTCACAGTAGTATCTTTTTTACCTACTTTGGCTCGACTCCGTGCACAACCTCTTTCAACAGCAGATTATGGGGTGCACTTGGTGGCAGCATTCAGTTTAACAAGCAAATACATGTCAACTTGAAAATAAGACATTGGTGCTAGGCCTTTATTAGTAACGAAGAGGTGTGAGGCTCAGAGAAGAGAGTTTGTGTAATTGTTTGCTTCAGTTTTCACTGTTCTATTTGGTAACTGGCTTTACAAATCTAGTTAGAAACTTCTGTTTTAGACCTACCCAAGGATCAGTCCTACATCCACAGTTATGGAGTCAAAATTCTATGAGAAAAAAAACAAAAAACAAAACAAAACAAAAAAAAAAAAAAAACAGACCTCAACACATCCTAGACCTTTGCTCTTTTTTTAACTTATAAAATGATGATCATAACAGAACCAGTTATACAGGATTACTATAAAAATTCAATGGTGACACAAATAAAGCAACCAGCAGAGATAACACATAGCTTCTATTTAATAAATGCATCTGTGAATAATGTTCTTTGGACACAGAGACATCAACAATGTAAAGAGGATGATTTCCTTGACCGTGAAGGCAACACTTATTTGTCAGGCTGAGAAAAATTGGAAACCATAGCACAAGAATCATATAGAAAATGTATCAGTTATTTTGCTTGCAGCTGTCACATAATGCCTGAGAAAAGCAACTTAGGAAGGAAGGGTTCATTCTGGCTCAGAGTGTGAGGCCTGTCACAGCAGGGAAGATGTGCAGCGATGGGTATCACTGGCTGTGGCTATCAGAGCCGAAGGCATCTGGTCACATTGCAGCAACAGTCAGGAAACCCTGAGGAACACATACTTGTGCTAAGCTTGCTTTTTCCTTTTTATTCAGTCTCAGATTCCAGGTCACGGCATAGGAGATCACATTTAGAGTGAGTCTTCTCTTAGATAAACCCTCTGGAAATGCCCTCACATTGTTTCTTCTGTGGTGCTAAATCCTGGCAAGATGACAATCAAGATTAACCATCACAGATGGAGATGCAACTCTCAGGTTTACTATTACCAGTGGAGCTTAATGTAAGAATGTGGCTAAGTTCTGCAGGTTGGTGGGCTTTTTCCTGCCAGCTCTTCCAAATCTGACTCCAGGAAGACCAGAACAAGTCTTGCGTTGGGAACAGACATCATTGGTGATGTTGTGTGGCAGAGGTAATGACTACCAAGTGCTCCCTCCTCTAATGGAGGAGCATCGCCCCATGAAAAGCATGCATGAAAGAATTCATACTCTTAACACTCCAGTCTACCCTGGAAAGGAATAAGTACGTGTCAGGCAGACAGGCTCAATGAAAGTCTAGTCATGAAAATCCCCTCAGAAAAAGGAAGGGGTGTTTATTTCTCATAATAATATTCATCATGTACAAATGTAAAAATGCATAAAACAACAAAACTTCCTTGGCTATTTAATGTATATTGATTATTCACATGATTATTTTGTTTTTATACTTAGAAATGACATTATATAAAAGTGTCCTATTATAATATATAATGTCCCTTGAGTGACTGCATAGACATTCCTAGGATAACACAATACCTTGGATCTTTGAACTTCATGAGGAATTCTTAAGGACTTTCAGGACATTTAAAGAAGTCACTGAGGCCTGATGTGACAAATGGCATAAATATATGATTTGGGAACCCAAAGAACCAGATGAAGTAAGGAGACGAGAAATTTCCACATACTCATGCCAGAGTTTGATGATCTGTTTACATCTTAAGAAATCTTCCCTGGCATCCTTCCCTAAAACAAAACTCCAGACACCTGACAAGACCCAGGGCTGAGCAACACATGCTTCTCCCGGTGGTTAAATGCTCAGCCCTTGTCATTGTCCACAATTTTCAGTGTTCTTATTCTACTCAAAAGACAAAGAGGGAGGCAATGGGCCCTGAGATGATAAGTGTCATATTTCCATATACTCAGTGAGA